AGCCGGCCCCCGATAGGGGCGCCGGGTCGGGAAAGGACGATGATGTGACGCTTCCTGACATTGGGAAACTTTCTGTGACGGAGAAGAAGAAAGACGACATGGATGTGGATCAGGAAGGCTCGAAGAAGGATTCCGCCGGGACGGAGAAGCCCACGCCTCGGGGTACTGAGGCTGGGAAGGCAGACCCGAGCGAGATCACCAACTTCAAAGGGGCTACCTTCGAGGAGTACCGGAAGACTGCTCCTGACTATGTGTACAGCGGGGAGGGAGATGATCGAAGGATCCTTCCCAAGAACACTCCGATAGACATGGAGAAGTCGTTGCCAGCCGAGGTTGCGCTCCTGATTCCGAGAGCAGTGGCCACGCAAAAGGAGGCTGAGGAAGCTGAGAAGGCCGCGATGGAGGCCATCCGCGGGGACTATAGGCTTCCTGACGTGGGACAGGAAGACAGGGAGAAGGTCGACCCTCACACCGTGACGAATGAGGACTTGGCTGCGTCGGTAGACGCGTTGACTAGGAGGTTGAGCAACATGCCTGAATGGTCGGGCAATCTGATCGACCCTGTGAAGTCTGCCGAGCTAGTCGCGGCGAGATGGGGCGGAAAGGCGAGTTATGACAAGCCTGAGGCTCCTCTGACTGAGGCTGGGATGAAGAGTGCGTCATTGGAGGATCGAGCCTATGCCCTGTCGCAGCTGAACGAGATGGTGAACTTTCACAAGAAACACCTATGCTCTGGACGAGGCGCGCCTATGGTGAGTGCAGCTGCCCCCAGTGGACCGTTTGCTCCTGATCAGCTGGATGATAGCAGGAGATTCAGACCAAGTGAGGCGGCGAGCAAGATGACCTACAATCTTGTGGTCCTGGATGGAAGGAAGGATTATCTTGCCGATAGGCGGGAAATCAATCCAGAGTTAAGGGATACTGGGGTTATCCCTAAAGAGGCCGCTACATGCCAGATTGTGGTTCCCTCGAAGACAAGGTTGGGTGAATACCTCCCGGACTACGAGGAGACCGCGGGCACCGTTGCAGGGCGGGAGGCGGCTAAGGAGTTGATGAGACTACTCTCGTGCGATTTCGAGGGTCTGGTCATCAACTCGAAGAGAGTCTCGGAGTTATTCGAGGAACGCGTGCTGAAGGAGACCGGGCGTGAGCCTGGAAACTGGGTGAATAGTGACCAGGCCATTTGGTTCCTGAAGGAGATCTCGGGCATGGAGAACGCCGAGATGTCGTGGAAGTTCTTCATTCCGACGCTCAAAGCTTTCCCGAGAGGGCAAGTTGAGGCAATGGTCATGGTCATGTACGACGGGAATGGTGTCCTCCTCAAGGAGAGCACTAGGTTAGTGGCCGTTAGGCACACGCGGATCGGACGCGACATGAGTTACAGTGCCGTTAGGCAAAGGTACACTCAAGAAGATGCGCCTGGCGGATCTCTGATGTACGAGATGCATTGGAATGAACTCCCCATGGTGGGGTACGTCGTCATGAAGTCGGACTTTAGGAAGGCGGTTCAGCTCCAAGGCGAAACGGAAAGGCCATGATCGAGATATTGATCACGAGGCCCGATGTGTACGAGACCATTGGAGATGGAAGGCAGGATGAGGGCCTGATCCCACTTGTGGGAACCATGGCGCCGAATGCCGAGGTATCGCCTTCGTGGTACGTGAGGGACAGGCTGCGGAACTACTCGGGTAGATACGTGGTGGTGATGGTGGACCTTCGGGTGCACTGGTCCTTGGTTGGACCTGTGTTTTTGACGAGGAGGAAGACCCTTGCGGTTCGGAACGAGATCCACATGGGGGCTTGGAAGGCAGCATACATGTACGATGATTACACGATAGTGTACCATCGGGCATGGGACTACGGTGACTTCACCCCCGTTAGGGGAGAGCACAGGCGATCGCGTGAGGAGGTCAGGTTGAATGTGACCATCACTTTCTGTTTGAGGTGCGCGGAGATGACGCCAAACGGGATGCATTTGTGCCCTGGGTGTGCGCTCCCGGTCTTCTACCCGAACTTTATCCCCAACGCGGAGGAGAATGACTTCGAGGGGTGCCGCATCGTCCCGGAGTGGGTGAGGACAATGGGGCAGTTCAAGCTTAAGAGGATCCCCGCCGAAGTGGTCGGAGTCATCAAGAGGAACCTGATTTCCTATTCGATGGCGTCTGACCTGAGGATGACGGCGCAGAGCGGCATCAGACTGCCCCCTTATCTTGGTGAAGACAAGGGAGGAGTTGATACGGCGTGGGATGAGCTGGCGAAGGTGCTCTTCCAATTCTCCTATGTGTCGGGGATTTCGGCCTCGGATGCGTTCGTGGAGAAGTGGGTGGCGAAGCACCTGATTATGACCAATCAAGTCGATAGATTTGATTCGGTCACGGAGTACTTCCGTGCTAACCCGAGGCATGCTGCTCAGTGGGGTAGGCGTATGACGACTTCCGTTAGGAAGTTCGCTCGTCATGATACGTACTTATCCTTCTACATCCCGATGGCGTATGTGATTGGCTCCGCGGCAGGTCATCTGACTCCGTTGTATCCGACCCATCGGAAGGACGTGGACATCCTGGCCAGCCATGCGTTGATATCGCAGCTCAGGGATTACATGGTGTCGGCGACCGGGTACGATGAGAAGAAGAGATTGAAGGAGGCGATAGCCAAGGTGCAGAAGGCAATCAGTGCCGGGCAGTCGGAGCCTCCCGCTCCCTTCCGTGACCCATTCGTCTACGTTAGTGACGAAAGGGTAAGGACGGTCCTTGATGGTCGTCAACCGGAGCCATTGGACGTGGACATCGAAGGGCTTCAATCGGTGCATCATGCTGCGCAGGGTCCTGGTCCTAAGCAGGAGCCGATCGTCAAGGGCGGAAAAGGAAAAGGGAAGAAGGGGGATAAGGGCGGTAAGGGCGGTAGCCCTTCCGGCCCACCACCAAAGTCAGGTGAAGTGCCAGGAAAAGGGTCTGGTAAGGGCGTTAGTCCGTCTGTCCCGCAGGCAAAAGCGAAGGCTGATGCTGGGCCGGCTCCGATGGAGGTTGATGCAACTGTGGCCCAACCGAAGAAGACTTGGGTCGCGATGGTGGTTGAAGGAGCCAGGCCGAGCGCAAAGGCCAAAACGACCCCGGTTCCAAAGGCCGAGCCAAAAGGGAAGGCCGCTTCTGTGTCTGAGGCGAAGAATGCTCCGGCTCCGAAGGCTGAGGCTAAGGAGACGAAGCAGGCCGAACCGAGGGTTGAGGTCAAGAAGGAGAAGGTAGGCGGAGACGACGCTCCTGGCGGTAGTCGGGGGTCGGCTGAAGGGCAGAAGAGAGAAAGGAAGTCCCGTTGGGATCCTGACGAGACTGTGAAGGAGTCGACGAAGCGAGAGGCATCAACGAGGCCTGATGACGTTGACAGCAGACCAGGTGCGGCAGCAAGAGAGGCTAGTGGAGATGATCTTCACTCTGCGCTTGGTAGATCTTCGGCAAAGGACGCGGTAGCGCCTTTGACGGCCTCCAAGGCAATGGCAAAGAAGCCTGAAGGCGGTGAGATCAGATTGCAGTCGGCTGAGCGAACTGCGGCGAGCCCGGTGGAGGGTCACTTCCTGGTGTTGCCTGGGAGTTCGGTGGTGGACGCTCTTTTGGCAGTCTCCACCAACAGAGTGCTGAACAAGCAAGTCAGGGATTTCATTAGAAATGGTGAGGACGCGTCAGCACTGGAGGCTCTCAACCAGATCGTGACGAATTCTCGCTCTGCGAGAAGACGTAGGGAATCGGACGTTTCCCGCACTCCTTCTCGGAGGTCCGTTAGGACCGTGGACACCAGGGATTCCAGAGAGTCGAGAAGGCGCAGATACCGTCCGCGGCGCGAGGATGATCGCGACCGGAGGAGGGACGATGCTCGTGATCGTCGTGATGATGATTCACTCGATCGGGAGCGAGAACGAAGGCGAGACGATCGCAGGAGATCCGAAAGGGATCGTGATAGGGACCGTGCGCGGGGCGGACGTGACCGGAGGAGACATGACGATAGCCGATAGGCTGAGCCACGAGGATTGCGGCCGATAGGCTTGCGTCCATTCTCCAATGGTCGGCGCGGTGCGGAGGTGGTGATGTTCCTCCCGAACCGCTGAGGCGCGGAGATCATGTCTCTCCCATACCGCTGCTGGGCTGCTGGTCGTGTTCATCCGGAAGCAGTGTGAGCGAGAGGGGAAAGCAAACTGATGGGGGGTTACTCCCGGGTTTGCGGAATTCAAGCATTTTTCAGGTACGCATGGTCAGGAGTACCTCTTGCCGATAGGCGAGGGTACTAATGGACATACGTTATCATTTATTTCATGGCTTCTGATAAGAATTAAACTTCTTGCATTGTTGATGCAAACAGTTGTGACCTAGTGTCGTCATGTGGACCTTTCCACAAGGTATGTTGGACAGCGTTACCCCGACTAATTCGGGGTGGTGGCGGGAATTTAATGCCCGGGATGTCGCGCAACTGCCTTTGTGGGTTTGCTCCACCGCTGACGGCGGTAGTGTCCAGCTGTTTGCGGACACATGCGAGCAGTTAAATCCTATCAGTAAATGGCACGCTCCACCCGTCATATGACGGGCTCCTCGTGAGGGGGGTGTGATTAGCCATGGTTAATATCATCATCAGGGACGTCGCGTTAGTGACCGACCTGTGGTGTTTTGGCTCAAGATTTTGGGTTCCGTCGCGCCTCGAATGGGCGTCGCCGAACCCTGCGTCGACCGACGGCATCTCGGGGGAGAAAGAGACCTCGGGCCGCCGCCAGGTTGGTAGGGTCCAGTCGTGCGGCCTGTTGTCGACCGTTTGGTTTGTTTTCCTTTGGTTGTTGTTCTCTGGTGTGTGGGAAACCCTGATCTTTGGGACCGGGGATTGGTTTGCTTTTGGGGAACCTTTCTTTTGTGGCTTGTTTACCCCAACTTACCCATTGCCTGGGCACAGGCTCGTGCCCGAATCACAAAACATTCATAGCCAGCTTGGTAGAACGTTCAGTCACATGTGCACTTCGCTCGCAGGAGCACTTCCTGCTGAAGAATCTGGTAAGGCCCATCATGAAGAGCTTCAATGCATTGACGGACACACACGCCTTCATTGAGGTAAGCACCCCTTCAAGGCACTTTGAAGTTACTAGTGAGATGTTCGCCATCGGCAGGCTGGCTATGTGCAAGGTGCAAGATCCCTGGTTTGACGAGACCATCTCACGTCTCCAATGCTATGTCCTCAACACCCCGTTGGGACTCCTCGTGGTGGATGCGTGGTCAGTCTGCGGCACTTACGTGACGCAGCGAGACGGGCGTGGCAAATTGCCAAAATCAACACCAGAATCTGGAAGGAAGCCCTTCTTAATGCCACATGGTGAGAGCTTTCTGCTGCACATCGGAGATCGAGCAAGGGGTTCAGATGTGCGCATTACCAGCACCCCCTACGTGCCCTCATCGTCATCTGAGTGCTCAAACGAGTCATGCGACTCTTTGGACATGGGTCGGTCTGGGTATGATAGGTATGATGGGTATGACGAAACCACGCGTTCGGGACGCGGGCAATTCGACTCCAACTCTGGCGCTTCGGATTTGCATTCTGGATGTCAAGCCCCCCCATCCCCACCCCGTGATGGCAGCACGCACGCTGATGTGCCGGCATCCAGCCATGCAATTGGTGGCCTCAACTGCCAGAAGATCATAGAGTTTGTGACCGCCACGGCCGTGCCATTGGCCATGGCGATTTTTAAGAACAGCAAGGAAGGTGACAACGCCGAGGAAGGAGGAAAAACAGACAGCAAAGGAATCAAGCTGCACTTCGCAGGACTTACCCTCGAAGTGGATGCCGGCGAGTTCCACTGGTCCACTATCGCGGTTCTCCTGATGGCTTGGTTGCTCTTGGGGGCTTTGTGGACTCGTCGCGGTAGCCAGCAAAGGGAGGCCGACCCAGTAGTAGGGCAGAGAGATGTGAAGGGCTTGGGCAAAGTGGATCTTCATCGTGGGCCCATGGGCGGTGTTTACTATGTCAACCAATCCGGACGCAAGATGTATGTTTGACCAGGTCGACGCCTACAAATTGTCCACCAGAAAGCTGTTCCTCTGTCAGGCCTGGGAGTTGCGGATACGGACTAAGCTTTGGGAGTCGGGCGAAGTGCGCGATGAGCACGGAGTCAGGGTTACATTCTGCAATTGGCTTCCCGGCCATCTCGGATGCCAAAGGCATGAGGCTGGGAGCGCGAACCGCAATTTCCATGACCTGCGAGGTGAAAAGCTGGGAAGTGGGCAAATTCTGGCGGGCTGAGGTCTCGCAGGTTTGGGGGATTAATCCATGAACAACGTCAGACGTCAGCCCGGTTGCTTTCCACGGCCGCCGTAACCCAAAACGGCATGCGGTTGGAACTTCAAACTTCACGGGCTTTTGTATCCAGAAGCTGCCAGGCACCATCTGGCCTTGACCCACTGGGCGACCTGGACAGTGAGGGCGGGCAGAATTCAGTGTGCAGCGCGCAAAACCACTAGCCATTTTAGTAGGTGGTTCTTGCAAACGCAGCTAGGGTCGCCTCGGAAGAACCAAAACTCAACCAGTTTGGGTTGCAGCTCATTTGGCACCGTGGTCGAACGACACTGACACCTCTATATATTTGGCTGGTCAGCGGGGGAGGTTATCCGGTCAATTTAGTTGATCATTCGGGAGATCATCAATCAGTTCGACAAAGTATTCCGAACCCAAAACCATGATGGCCGACGCAGGCAGGTTGGACAATGACTGAGATAGTTCCCAACCAATAGCCTGTTTGGTAAGCTACTCCCTCACAAAGAATGAGAACTGGGGAGGAAGGTACCCGAGCTTTGGCCTTCTCGGCAGCGCAGTCTGCGAGGCAAGGAGGCCGTGTACAAAACGCCCGTGCTTTGCAGCTTCCAAGCGGCAACCTCATATCGACCAAGGGGGTCGGAGAGAACAGTATGCCCGGCCCCCCTTGTGTGGACCTCTACGCTTCCATCCATGTGGAATCTCCCGTTTGGCCTCCCTTGCTTGGCGAGAAAGGCTTCCTCTCGGCCGGGGCCAGGCCTCCTTGTCGCAGCTGTTTCGTGTCTTTGTTCCTGATCGTGTGGGGCGCCTTAAGCGCAAGTGCGTGTACAGATGGCAGCGTTTTTTCTGCCGGCAGCTAGGATTTGCTGATCATACGATGTTGTGCTCCCTAACCCCCATCTTCTGGGTATGAAGTTGGCTCTAGGGTGCTGGAGAGGTTCCCGGTTCCCAGCTGGGCTACTCCCTTGCATGCCCACTTGGAAAGTTCCTTAATTTCATCGCGTATAACAGTCACCTCTTACTCACACGGAGGGCTACATGCACCATGATCGACGAATGATTTGGGAAAACTGTGGGAGTTTAACAGGCGTCATGGACCTTCTTGCAAAGATCCTTCCAAAGCGAGCCATTCCATCAATTCCCAGTAACCAAATCTAGCCAGAACCCACGCAAGGACTCAGCTTTGCTCCTGGGGCCCCGAAATCGAGCATCTAAGAAAGACCAAAACTACCCCTACAAAGTGCGTGTTTTTGTTTGTTCCCTCCTTTCGAGGGACAGCCGCATGAAACCTGAGCGCCTCAGCTGCATGAAATGGCATTCGTTCCGTGCAGCGTTGGCTCAAGACGGATGTGCGGGGAGTGGTGGACGCTGTGGATTTTGTGCAATGAGTGAGGCCACACATCGAGGTCGACTCCGTTTCGGCCAGCAGTCAGGTGGATTCGAGCGTTTCCGAAAATATGGGTGACCCCGTTTGGGGCAGCTGCTAAAGAGAGGCCACAAGGAAACCGCCCTTTTGGCTGGATCAATTTTAGAACATTCCGAAATGGACTAGCAGCGCATGTTGCCCTAAATTAAGCGGCTTGTTCAAAATCGAACTTTCCAACTTTTGACAAGATTTCCCCCTGCCTGCAGTTCCTGCTTATGTTGCTGTTCTTGGCGCTTTTCTCTATCTCCCTCTCTCTCTCTCAGGTGTTAAGGCCGGGCCAAGCTGAGCCGCGTGGAGAGCCCAAGTTCCTCTTGTTCTGTTCACTCTGAAATGAATTGTACTGGCTGATCTTGGGATCTCTATGTTTAGAAGGGCCTCTTGCAGCGAGTTCTCTCCAAGAGGGTGCAAGGGTAACTCCTGTTTCAGGTCGTCCGCTTTCTTCAGCCACTTCCAGCGCAGGCTGGTGAAGCAGCTCACTCGACATGAGCGTCTGGACTTGTCAGCTTCTCGCCTGCAAAGCCGGGTGCCGTGCTAAACCCCTGACAAAAGTTTTGGGGTAATTCTTGGTTCAAGGTTTAGCAACCAGCAACATGCTCCGACCTGCACCTTGGCAATCCGTGCCAAATTCCATGGTTTCCTGACGCGCAACCTTGCGGAATTTGCCAGGGATGTGGGAGGGGATTTCAGCTTTACCTCCAGGCCCTACAGAGTTCTACAGTCCCAAAGATTACGGGCATCATTTCCGATGCTTCCAGGGAGCCAAAAGAAAACTGGCCAACTTCAAGGAGGCTTGTTGGTGGAAATATCCAGCCGGCAATGGCAAGTGGATAAATCCGGGGATGCTTCATCCCCTTGTGGTCCTGGATGCTTCATCCCATATATATATATATATATAATATTATATTTATTGTAAACGCTTCGCGTTGCCCGCCTCGGCCCAGCCTAGTTTGAGGGAAGGGTCAGGAACACCGAAATCCAGTGTTGGGAAGGTCCGAATACCTGAAGCTGGCTCCAGACAAGTCAGACAAGCCGGCCTCGCCTGGTTGGGCTGGGCCACAGGCTAGTCTCAGACACATCAGATAAGCCTGCGCTGGGCCTGAAGCTAGTCTCGGGCAGCTTGGCTGGACCTTGCTTGCGTGGGTTGTTGGTTGAGCTGAAGCTAGTTTACGGCGGGCTGGGCAGCCGCACTGAGGGGGCTGGGCTATGGCTGGGCTGGGCCTGAGGCCAGTTTCAGACACGTCAGACAGGCCTGGCCAGCAGGCGGACTGGGCTGGGCTAGACGCTAGTTGAGCCCAGGCTGGTGAGGCCCAGTCTCGGCGCTAGATAGGCTGAGGCCTGCGAGTCTCAAACCGGGTGGGCTTGGGTGGGGTTGGCTTAGGCGGGTTGCTGGTTGGGCTGGGCCTGAAGCTAGTCTCAGCCACGAGGCTGCGAAGCCATGGGTGGTGCTGGGCAGCTGGATTATGGTGTTGGTTGCGCCTGGAACTTCGGCTGGCTGGGCTGAGCTGTGCTTGGGCGGGTTGCTGGATGGGCTGAGGCTGGGTAGCGAGTTGCTGGCTAGACACGTAAGACACGCCAGCAGGCGGGCTGAGGGACTGGGCCTGAGGCTAGTCTCAGGCTGGCATACCTTGAGACCAGTCTCAGACTGCGCCGAAGGGGCCTGGTCAGCCTGGGCTGCTGAGTAGCTGGCATAGCTTGAGACCAGTCTCAGAGGCCAGTCTCAGACATGTTAGACAAACCTGACCTTGGCACACTGGGCTGAGCCTGCTGGTGGGCTGGGAGCTGGGGGCCGGTAGTGGCTGGCATGCCCTGAGATGCGCTGGGGCCTGGGCTGGGCAGGCTTTGGGCTGGGCCTGAAGCTAGTCTCAGCCACGAGGCTGCGAAGCCATGGGTGGGTTGCTGGCTGCCGGGCAGCCGGACGCTGGTTGTGCCTGGAACTTGGGCTGGGCGGGCTGGGCTGAGCTGTGCTTGGGCGGGTTGCTGGATGGGCAAGGCCTGTTTCATACACACTTGGGCCCGAGGCTGGGTGGCGAGTTGGCTGGGCTGGGCCTGAGGCCAGTCTCAGGCTGGCGTACTTTGAGACGGGGCTGGGCCTGCTGGATGGCTTGGGGCCAGACGCAAGCAGGAGGGGCTGAGTTGCTTGGGCAGCCGGACTGAGGGGGCTGGGGCACGTCAGACGGGCTTGGTGGCTGGCATAGCTTGAGACCAGTTTCAGACACGTGAGACTGGGTCGTTGGCGTTAGACAAACCTGACCTTGGGGCCGGCCTAGGGCCTGGGCTGGGCGCTGGGCTGGGCTTGCTGGATGACTTGGGGTAGGCCTGTTTCAGACAAGCTTGGGCCTGAGGCTGGGTGGGGCTGACAGGCCTGGCCAGCAGGCGGGCTGCTGGTTGGGCTGGGCCTGAGCCTAGTCTCAGACACGTCAGGCAGGCCTGGCCACCAGGAGGTCATGCTTTTCAGGACAAAAAAGCAATTTTTTAGTGATTTTCGCAATTGTCAGCACATTTTCGACAAAAATGGACCCATGGAGCTGGACGCCGACGAACCCCGAAAATTTCAAGGCCCGCCGGACAGGATTTTGGGTCCAGCCGACATGGGTGGGGGGGGGGGGGGGAAAATTTTGGTCGGGGCAAAAGGGGTTGGGGGAGGGGAAAAGCGAAGATTCTCTTTGGAGAAGAGATCTGAGCGCCCTTGGCCCCTTTGGGGCCGAGGCGAATATATATGCTAACCCCCCCCCCCCAGGTACCCAGGTTTGGGCTTGGTTCAGATGTGCTTTGACCGCGGAAGCAGGCAGGAAGAACAGCTCAGATTTGCACACTGGGAGACCAGAGGAAGGAGGTTTGCCTAATTGAAGAAACACGCCTTGGACGTGACCCATGCCCTTTTTCAATGGCTCTTCCACACAAAATTCAATTCACATATCTTCCCACACAAACCATGCCTTCTTTCAAAGGCTCTTCCACAGATAACTCACATATCTTCCCACACAAACCATGCCTTCTTTCAAAGACTCTTCCACAGAAAATTCACACATCCTCTCACCCAACACATGTCTTTTTACATGTCTTCTTTCAATGAAACAAAGGCTATGTGAAAGAGTTGCCACGGAAAGTGAACCCTGTGCAGAATAAAACCAGGCTATGGCTGGGACAGTTTGTGTTACATAAATGGTGGTTTTACATGATATTTACTATCTTTTGCTGTACTTTTATGAATCACTGTAACCCTGACTCTTCCACAAAGACCCACATATCATCTCACACAAAACATGTCTTCTTCAATAACTCTTCTCTACAGAAAATTCACATATCCTCTACCCAGAACATGTCTTCTTTCACAAAGGTTCACATATCCTCTCACCAACACATGCCATTTTTCAAAAGCTCTTCCACAGAAAATCTACATATCTTCCCATACAATCCCTTCTTTCAAAGACCCTTCCACAGAATATTCACATATCATCTCACGTCTTTTCAATAACTCTTCTCTACAGAAAACGCATTCATCCTCTCACCCAAAACATGTCTTTTTACATGCCTTCGATCACAAAGGTTCACATATCCTCTCACCAAAACATGCCTTTTTTCAAAGGCTCTTCCACAGAAAATTCACATATCTTCCCACATAAACCATGCCTTCTTTCAAAGACTGTTCCACAGAAAACTCACACATCCTCGCACCCAACACATGTCTTTTTACATGTCTTCTTTCAATGAAACAAAGTCAGCATAGTGAAAGAGTTGCCAAGGAAAGGGAACCCTGCGTAGAATACAGCCAGGCTATGGCTGGGACAGTTTTTTGTTACATAAATGGTGGTTTTACATGATATTTACTGTCTTTTGCTGTACTTTTATGAATCACTGTAACCCTGACTCTTCCACAAAGACTCACATATCATCTCTCACACAAAACATGTCTTTTCAATATCACATTTCTACAGAAAATTCACATATCCCTCACCCAGAACGTGCCTTCTTTCACAAAGGTTCACATATCCTCTCACCAAAACATGCCTTTTTTCAAAGGCTCTTCCACAGAACTCACATATCTTCCCACACAAACCATGCCTTCTTTCAAAGACTCTTCCACAGAAAATTCACACATCCTCTCACGCAACACATGTCTTTTTACATGTCTTCTTTCAATGAAACAAAGGCAGCATATGTGAAAGAGTTGCCAAGGAAAGTGAACCCTGTGCAGAATAAAACCAGGCTATGGCTGGGACAGTTTGTGTTACATAAATGGTGGTTTTACATGATATTTACTATCTTTTGCTGTACTTTTATGAATCATTGTAACCCTGACTCTTCCACAAAGACTCACATATCATCTCTCACACAAAACATGTCTTCTTCAATAACTCTTCTCTACAGAACATTCACATATCCTCTCACCCAGAGCATGCCTTCTTTCACAAAGGTTCACATATCCTCTCATGCTCCGCAAATGTTGCGCAACATTTCCCTGGACCAAAAAAACAAAAAGAAACAAAAACAACAAAAAAAAGAATCCCAGCCATGGTGGGGGCTAGGATTGGTTTTTTGGTTTTTTGGTTTTTTGGTCCACAAAATGGCCTTGCAGAAAATGCATGAGTTCAATCAAAATACACTGTAAATATCAATGGTTTCGATACATGATGCAACAACACCTGGGTACTGGGGGGGGGGGGGTACCATATATATGTGTGTGTGTACGTGTGCAAACACACGAGGAAGAACAAAGAGAGAGAGAGAGAGAGGGAAGTATAATTTGCATTATCTATAGGGAGTTGTGACCCAACCCAATGCCACAGAGTTTGGAGGGATCGAAGGGACAAGAATCGAGTCGTGTGCAAAAGAGCCGCGAGGTTCCCGGGCTGCGGGTCCAGCGAAGCGCAGCTCGCGGAGCTCCGGGCGCGCCGGCCCGCAGGCTTCGCCCACGACGAGGATCCCTCCCTCCGGGTCTGCACCGCACCTCGGGCCACAAAAGCCTCTTGAGTCCCGAAAAGCCCTTAGATATGCATGAAATGCATCAGGAATCAGGGAGACCAAAACATGAGGAAACCACTCACTCCCCGAGTCAGTAGGATTCAGGATCCCCTTTTCCCCGAAAACTGGCCTCAACGAGTCTTCGTTTGAGGTTTGAGGTGCAGCAGGGGGTTTGACCTGTCCAGGCATGCTGCCTTTTTTCGGAGTTCCGTGATTGACATTCCTGGGTCGCAAGCTTCGTGCGGCGGACGGAGTAAAGCAGGGTTTTGTGAACCCGGGTGTCCAACTTTCGGTTGTTGGTTTTTCAAATTTCCGAAAGCTGGACGAGATATGGATCTGTACGTTTCAACCCTGGAACCCCTTGTCTCCTTCCGGTGCGCAAGGGTACCCATTGTCCCGTGCGACAACGTGGCTCTAGACACAAACATGGGACCCAGATTCAAGGACATTCAAGCAAGCGCATCGAAGGGCGAAGTTTGGTTGGATCTTTCACTCTCAACTTTCTGGGCACATCTCTTTGCTCGATTGCTTCCCAGCAATCGAGGGAAAAAGCACCCTAAAGGCCCTAAAGCGCGGTTTTGCGGGGGTTCAGGATTCCCAACGTAACTATGGCTTGAAAAAGCGGAAAGCGGAACGTGAAACCTGTTAAAACCCTCCTGGCCCCGTGCCTAAATTGGGAAGCTGTTCTGAGGTCTGTGTTATTGTTGGTTACAATGTTCCATTGACTGCCATTTGGCTCAAGTCACAAGTAGGGCTCAAGGTCTTGCATGAACTACGTTTGCACGTGATCGACCATAGAGAGTGGAAAATACTTCATTCGCGCCGCAGCTGCCAGGATCACCATCGTGGTTATTGGTTCTTATCCCTTACAACAGTTTACACGGGTTCGGCTATAACGGTTTGACCGTATACACCTTTCTACGTGGTTGGGTACACAGCTGGAGGGTTCGGTGGACAGCGTCCCACGGGACGTCACCTTGCCGTCTCTTGACAGGTTATCAGCCGTAACGACAAGCTCTACACTGGACGGAGAGACAGCTGGTTAATTGCGGGTACAGGAACTATAAAGGGACAATAACCTACACGGTACAATGGCATCTTCAGCGAGCCCAAGTACTGCAACTTTTGGGAACGACAGCTCAGAGGGATCCAATGGATTGATGGCTCTTCCTGCGGTAATGGACTTGGTCGCAGATTCACAGGACGAACCTGGGAGCGGAGGATCCGCACTATTCAGCGACATATCCACACCTACAAGGTCATGGAAACAGATCGATGTTCATCAGGAGTCGAAGCAAAGAGGGTCTCCACCGAGAAGATCATCATCTTCGCCTGCGACACCGCGGACGTCGCAGAAGGGCGTGAGGTCGACATCGAAAGGTGGGAGATCCAAATCACCCACGAGTGCCGAGTTTCGCGCCGCGATTAAAGAAAAGAATAAAATGGAGATGGAGATCGGGGAATATCAGAAGACACTTGATGAAATGTCGGCAGCAATGGCGAACCTTCACCAAGAAGATTATGGGAGCACCATCCGGATCCAAGAGCTGGAGAGACGATGTGAGATTGCCAGCAAGCAATCGGGACATCTTGTAAGTCATCACCAACACCATATGGTGGAGGCCTGGCGCAAGTTTGAGGAGGAAGCCCAACAGATGCGCAAGGTGGAAATGAACGCATATCAATACGGGGAGAAGAAGGACATGGAGTCGAATGTTATGATGCAACAGATGAGACAAGCTGAGGGAACTATTATGGAGCAGAAACGGGAGATTGCAGTGATGAGATCCTATATGGCAAGCGAGAAGTCGGCCGCACAGGAATCAGCTATACATGCAACTCAAATACACCGTGAGGCTTCACAACAGATATCAGTTTACCAGCAACAGATCAGAGGTATTGAGTCGTCTACATCTATCGAGAAGTTCAACGAAGAGGAGATGGTTCAAAGTCTGAAATCACAGTTGGAACACGCACTCGTCAAACGCCCCGAGATGTACTCGATGGAGGACTCCAGGGAGCAGCTAATGACGAGACTGAATGACGTTACGACATTCGCAGAGCAAGAATCAAAAAGAGCAGAATGCTTGCTTCGCGAGAAGGAAGACATCATCCGACAGTATGAATCCGACGTGTCGAAGATCGACCAGATGATTGCTATCAAGGGTGGTCATCGTCAAGATGCAATCTTGGAATTGGCCCAGGTCAGAGAAGCAAAACAAGAAGAACGGTGCACGATGGACGAGAAATCGAAAGAGGCCGAATACTGGAGGTTGACAGCTAAAGGAGTGTATGATGAGTACCTCGAGGAGATGCGCGAACTTCAGGGACAACTGAAGGATCGGGAGGCGACGCTCAAACAAGAAGAGAGTTTCGTTCGTCAGCTCGATGCGGATAATGAGGAACTCAGGGCACTCAAGAAGCTGGAGATACAGGAGGCCTCGAGCAGTAAAGATGGACATCGTGAACGAGCAGTAGTGAAACGCGCTGAGGGAGGACCTCAAACTAATTCGACTAGGGAAGACAAGAAGGTGACTGGGTTATACCCGTCATCATCATCTAACCTGATCCCTAATTCGTCGCTAGTGCCAGGTTCGATTCTCTTTCCGTCTTTCGGTGATCCAATGATCGATGTACACCTATCACAGATGCAAGGGGTTGTTGGGCATGTCCCACAATCCGCTACTACAACTGGTGGTGGAGGTAATGGAGGGGGAAACGACGGTACTACACCCCCATTGCATTACGGTGGATTCTCGCCCAATGGAAATCGACAGGGGTCAATTGAGCCTAACAGGTGGTGGGGGGGGACCTCCAGGTGATCCACCCGATGATGAGGACGAGGATGACGACGACGAAGAGGATGAGGAGGACGAGGAAGAAGAAGATGACAGTCGGACACGGAGGGGGCGCAGAAGATTGAGGGATGATCGCGAGATCAAGAACGAGAGACCGAGGATTTCAAGGAAAGAGGCTGAGAGGGTATCCATTCCCCCTTGGCCAAACATCCATCAGCTCGACAACTGGAAAATGCAATTGCTGATGAATGTTCTAAGCGCATGCGCAGATCCAGATACCGACACATGGACGAAATGGTTGGAACAGGCTCTTGGGATAACCCAGACCTCAATTTGCTGAGCGACTCCGGCGGCGATAGATTCGCTACAATAGACATCAAAATGGCCATGGGAATGCAGAACATGTTGAGACAAGCACCAGACGAGGCCAAAGACGTGTACCTCGACGCTACGCGACATTCGGAACTACGACATCAACAAGGAGTGATCGTAAAGGGACGAGAGCTGGTGGCATTGGCCATGCAATCATTCAGCACGTCTGATCGAACGGACCTTGTCTACCACATCGAGCACTTATTCAACCTCGACTTCCCTGGAGACAAGAATTTGGTTGTATTCAGGAACAAGTGGTATGATTTGTTGCTGAAGATGAGGAGCGAGGATAGACCCAGCACACTGGCTCTCAGAGATACTCTATACAGGAAGATCAAAGGGAGCAGGAAGATGGAATTTGGTCTGAATGCCTATCATCGGTTGCCAGACAAACATCCTCAAGAGTCGTATGAAGTCTTACTGGCATTGATTGACCACCAAATCAAATCGGATCGAGAGGATCTGATGCTCGACATGAAGGAGAAGTCGGTCAAATCAATGATGAAATCAGGCGGCAAAGACGCAGCTCCGGCTGCTGGCAAGCAGGAGGGCCAGAGTGGCAAAGGCAAGAAGGGGAAATCCAATGGACCTGACGCCGCTCCTGTGCTCCCGAAGGCCAAAGCAAAGGGTCACGCTGGCAAGAACGGCAAGTCCGACGGTGCCAACGACAGAGGCAAGAGTCCGAGCGGAAACAAAGACAACCCATGTTGGTATCACTTCAAAGCGGAGAAGGGATGCTTGAAGGGGAATGAATGCACATTTTCCCACAGCAAGAAGACGGAACACAAGCTGGAGAACCTACGCAAAGGAAAAGGGAAGGGGAAATCCAAATCCAGATCATCATCACCAAAGAGGGAAGATGGAGCATGCTTTGCGTTCCAGAAGGGAAAGTGTGAGAAAGGGAGTGCTTGCAAATATAAGCACGAGCTCATCAAGAACAATTCAGCTCCGGCAACGTCAAGTGACAAGGCACAAGCCAAGTCGAAGGCTGCCGCCAAGAACGCAGCGCCAGCGATTGTGAGAAGGGCCATCGCCATGCCTGCGATAGTCTTAAAGCAATCGGCCCCTGCGGGAAAGGTCAGCTTCAAGAAGGACGTTGATCAAGTCGAGCCGGATGAGACCGAGACTGTCTACCACGAGCGTGATGACGATGCAATGAGTGAATCGTCAAGATGGTCTGGCGAGTCCGAGATCCCCGAGAAGATGGTATGGTTCAAAGAAGTACCCGACGTCGACGAGAACGGGGAGATCACCTATCTCGAAGACGAAAGAAGGCAATGGGAACGAAAGGGAGAGTGGTACGGCTATGAGGGCAATGAGGATGGTCCTTACCAGTACGTGCGCATCGATGAGAAGAAGTTCAAAAGCAGTGATCATCGAGAATTATCAGCCTATCAAGTCCAACGATTATTGATAAGAGCAAAGATACTGGAAGAGGTGGTGGATGATGTTTACAGAAAACACTACTTTCCGGTAACCAAGGAGAGCACCATCGTGTTCGAATATGATCGAAACAAGGACGAGATCAAGGAAGCGGCCATCGACTGGAAGAAACAGCATGGTCTGCCGAAGAATGTGTTCGCAATGTCAACGTGTATCAGCAAACGGGTGAAATGGTTGATGGACACCGGATGCGGTCATGATCTCATTGGGCGAGCCAAGGCAAAGAGCCTGGGTGTCGATATTGTGAAAGATGATGATGAGATCGTGTTTCAGACCGCAAATGGTTCCACTTCCACATCTGACGTGGCCAAGATAGTCGTGGACGAGTTGGACGAGACTGTCGAGCCGCATGTGTTGGATGAGACACCC